CACCCTCCTTCACTACCACCACTGCCTGAACCATACACCACCCTCCTCTCCTCCCCAGCCTCCACTACCACCTCCTTCACTACCACCACCGCCTGAACCATACACCACCCCTCCTCTCCTCCCCAGCCTCCACTACCACCCTCCTTCACTACCACCACCGCCTGAACCATACACCCACCCCCTCCTCTCCCCCAGCCTCCACTACCACCTCCTCACTACCACCACCGCCTGAACCATACACCACCACCACCACCACCATTTGGAACAGTGACCATCATGAGTACGATCAGCAGAGGAAGAGGAGGAATGAGAAGCAATGGCGTGATTGAGGAGGTAAATAACAAGGGAAGAAGCACAGGATTGATAAATGTGAGAGATGGATGGATTGAGAAGAAGTCAACATACAAGAACGTGAGATTATTAGTTAATTAAAGACGACGAAAATGGGTGAAGAAGAAGGACAGTTGACAATAAAGAAAGACGAGAAACAAGAAAAAACCTAGATGAAGACGATAAGACACCTTACAATTACACTTAAGAAGAGCGAGTGGGGCGACACACACACACACACTGGAGCCTCAGTAACTCATACTTCAAGCACGTCCTACAAATGACTTCCTTCATCCTTAGATTAACGACGTGTGTTTTACCGAGAGGACGTGTTGCTACGGCAGTCAAACTTATCCCCCCCCCCCCACAACCACCCTCAACAACATCCTTCAACATTACACAACATTCTTAAACGACTGGGTTAACATCTCTCGTAACATTTTGCATTTTAGTAAACATCCCGACAGCTTAGCGTTTCTACACTCTTGGATAAACACCTCGACATGTCAACACGTTTTTAACCATTAGAATTGGGGGCCCATTAGTTTCAAATCCATTAGTAGCCAGGGCCCATTAGCACTGGGGTCTATTAGCACTGGGGGTCTATTGAACACTGTCACTGAGCTCACTTAGTTGACCACTGACTTCACGAGAGGAAAGGATTGTGTTAAGTCAGCTCCAGGGATTATGCAGGTGCAGTGCTCAGTGGGTACAGTTGTGTGGTAAAGGGGCGAGAGAGTGTAAGTCTGGGAGAGAGCGACAGAAAATGCTGACGAACGATTAAAAGTCGTAAAGAGAAAAGAATAAAATAGCTAAGTTGTGGAGGATGAAGTGGACGGTAAGAAACATAACGATAAGGAAGAGAAAACGTTAATAGCTGGTGATGTTCAGGTGAGATCCGTGGCCGGGAGCTGGTAGGTGAGATATATGGATGGTCGGTGAAGGAGTGGAGAGCTCCTTTGTAAGAAATAACAATAAAGTTAAATTAGTTAAGGAGATAATCCCAGACTCACTGCTACATACTCACACAGTGGACAACAAGGTGGAATACATCAATATCTGGAATGTACTGAAAAAAATAATTTTATACCGTTGGCAGAAACTTGACTGGCCTGAGTTACCTGAGGAATATTAAACTGAGGAATACAAACGATCTCATACTGATAACACGAGTAACAGAAGCGAGAAGCTACGAGCGCGCACGTGTCTGTGTGTGTGTTTATGTGAAGTGTTAAGTGCTGTAAAGAATGTGTTGGGTGGCAGGAGGGAGGTACTCATCGTTAGGCTGGATAAACATTGATCTGCTGGGATGGTGAGCACTGTGTGTGTGTGTGTGTGTGTATATATATATATATATATATATATGTATGTGTGTGTGTGTGTGCGTGTGTGTGTGTGTGTGTGTGTGTGTGTATGTGTGTGTTCAACAGTTGTTTCCTCAATGTTATTGGTTATTATGTCGAGGTGAAGCTGTGAAACACCTTACCATGAGCTGATGAACCAGCGCTGTTGAGAACAATGGCCACTGTGGCACTGTTTATCCGACACAATTAAATACCTAACCTAAGGTGTGGTTCTACTGGACACAAGGTGACATATTCAACATTGGATTACAACCAGATTGGCATATTGAGAAAAAACAAACACATATTTATCTTTTTCTCTCGGGAAGTAATAGGTGGTGTGGCGCTGTTACCACCTGTGTTACCAGGAGGGGGGGGGGGCAACAAGGTCTACCCAGAGTAGAGTAGAGAGGCCTTCTGCGGTTAACCTTCGACATGTGTTTACTGAGGCGTTTGACATCAAACCACAATGTGTGTCGTTAGTCTATTCCTACCGTCGGTATTACGAGCTTCGCTATATTCAAGTGTGTGTTCAAATATCCACCAATCAGCGTTGGAGTATGTTCAAATATCTACCAATGAGCGGTCAACACCTAAACACCTTAATACTGTGAGGATAACGACTGAATGGTGGTGGTACAGCCGTAACGAGCATAACTCTCACCAATATGTCAAGGGTTATCTAGTGTGACCTACCAAACACCACAACACAAGCTAATCCCCCCGTAGCACCTCTTCAACTTTATATTTGTGTTAATCTGGAACTACCCTACAAATCAACTTTCCATTCTGAAACTTATTTAAAAAGAATAATCTAAAATAAGTCGATGTTTTTAAAAAATTTAAAGAGATATCACAGGAAAAAAAAACTCCTACAAGTTGCGACGGTGGTGTGTGCGGTGGTGGCTGCGTTGATCACGGCGGTGTACATCACGGACTACTACCTGAAGACCTGGAGCCTGAAGCTCCAGGAAGACCTCAGCGAGGTCTGCAAAATACTCTACCCTGACCCAGTCAGGGGGATCCTCCAATACCTACCCCTTGTGGGTAGGACGTTTACCACCTCACCCTGTCACCTTTCCCCAGGAGAGGCTGAGGGTGTGTGGAAAATCCCAGTAGTCCGCTGGGCCTTAAGGGTGTTGTCCCTGCGACGCCGCCTCAAGTACGCGCCCGCGTGCTGCCCCCAGCCCATCATCTCCTACACCTCGGCGATCCTTCTCGCCCTTGCCCTCATCATCACCGTCTTGTTCATTGTGGCAGTACGAGCACTACTGATAAGGTACGTGCCGGAGAAGGAACGCATAAAAGCGTGCCACCGTCAGCGGAAGGTTGTGTCCCATAGGCACAAACAGAGCAAGGCCGATACCTCCTCCTCGGAGGAGGAGTCGTCGTCGGAGGAGGAGTCGGAGGAGGAGTCGTCCGAGGAGGAGTCGTCCGAGGAGGAGTCGTCCGAGGAGGAGGAGTCCGAGGAGGAGTCCTCCGAGTCGTCGTCGTCGTCCGAGTCGTCGTCGTCCAAGTCGTCGTCGTCCACCTCCTCCTCAAGGTCACGAAGACGGCGTAAAGGAAGGAAAAATAAGAAAGACCGAGGAAAGAAGAAAAAAAAGAGAAAGAAGAAAAAAAGAGGCAAGAAGAGGCGCTGACTGACTCAAATTTTCCATTGTTTAATTTCTTTTTACCGAAACAATTTGTCCTACACTATACCGTGAATTGAAATTTATGATATTAAACACTGTCTATAAAGGCTAAAGAATGTAAGGAATCACGATTAGCAAATAAAAAGCTATGGAAAACACTGCAGTGTTATGGTGCGTATCAGAGCCTTCATCTTACCTTATAATAACACCATTTACTACAGTGTGAGTCTCTTAGGTAAATGATATGGCTTACTGTGGTGTTACAGTGCATACTGTTCTGTGTTATGTACTGTACTGTACACTGTACTGGGTGTTGGGTCCGGTAACTTTAGTGCCGGCTGGTTAGCAGTTCCTTGAATTAACAAGGTCATGACGCCGGGTTGAGCTGATCGAGTGGCGGTGAGAATTCTGTTTCCCTTGTGAACTTGATCTCCCTTGGGTCAGGTCTGGCCATCTGTGTTTGCCCGGGTGCGTAGTCGTGTCGCAGGTCGGTAATGCTTCCTAATTATTACCACCTCGACATGTCAACACGTTATTAGGTTACTCAGAACATCTCTACACCCTAGCATAACACTCAGAACATCTCTACACCCTAGCATAACACTCAGAACATCTCTACACCCTAGCATAACACTCAGAACATTCTCTACACCCTAGCATAACACTCAGAACATTCTCTACACCCTAGCATAACACTCAGAACATTCTCTACACCCTAGCATAACACTCAGAACATTCTCTACACCCTAGCATAACACTCAGAACATCTCTACACCCTAGCATAACACCCAGAACATCTCTACAGCCTAGCATAACACTCAGAACATCTCTACACCCTAACACTCAGAACATTCTCTACCCTAGCATAACACTCAGAACATCTCTACACAGCATAACACTCAGAACATACAACACCTCAGAATCTCTACACCCTAGCATCTCAGAACACTACCTAGCATAACACTCAGAACATCTCTACACCCTAGCATAACACTCAGAACATTCTCTACACCCTAGCATAACACTCAGAACATTCTCTACACCCTAGCATAACACTCAGAACATCTCTACACCCTAACATAACACTCAGAACATCTCTACACCCTAAATACTCTAAACAACTCAACACTTCATGAACTATTCGTCCCTTAAAAACTATCTTCACAGTTCATGGCAGACAACACAACATCTCCACATCCAAGAGATCATTATTTTCTAATGACGTCCCAACGCCCCCAGAAAACAGCTCCCCACATCATCCACACATCTCATGTTTCTCATTACACCCCCCCACCCCCTCCGATAACATCTCTACAACTCAAGGATTATCAACGATTATTATTATTATTATTATTATTATTATTATTATTATTATTACCAACATTATTATTGTTATTATTATTATTATTATTATTGTTATTATTATTATTACTATTATTACCAACATTATTATTGTTATTATTATTATTATTATTATTACTATTACTATTATTACCAACATTATTATTGTTATTATTATTATTATTATTATTATTATTGTTATTATTATTATTATTATTATTACTATTATTACCAACATTATTATTGTTATTATTATTATTATTATTATTACTATTACTATTATTACCAACATTATTATTGTTATTATTATTATTATTATTATTGTTATTATTATTATTATTATTATTACTATTATTACCAACATTATTATTGTTATTATTATTATTATTATTATTATTATTACTATTATTACTATTATTACCAACATTATTATTGTTATTATTATTATTATTATTATTACTATTACTATTATTACCAACATTATTATTGTTATTATTATTATTATTATTATTATTATTGTTATTATTATTATTATTATTATTACTATTATTACCAACATTATTATTGTTATTATTATTATTATTATTATTACTATTACTATTATTACCAACATTATTATTGTTATTATTATTATTATTATTATTGTTATTATTATTATTATTATTATTACTATTATTACCAACATTATTATTGTTATTATTATTATTATTATTATTATTATTACTATTATTACTATTATTACCAACATTATTAGCATCACGCTCAGTGCATTATGACAGAAGTTTACCTTGAGCAACTTCCTCCCGGGTAAAAAATGTAAACAATAAGTGACGTCATGTTAGGAGATAAACCCAGGTTGAGTCACCGCCTCCTGGTCACTCCTCCTTAACCTTTGACCTCTCCTGTTAATAGCCAGGACTCATAGGAGAGTGGTGGCGCTGGTGGTAGAAGCGGTACCGTTCTTGCCTCGCAAGCGAGATGTCACGGGTTCGATTCCCGGGCCGGTGGAAGTTGTTTGGAGTTACTTCCTAGCCCCCATTAGTCCCTGTTCACCTAGCAGTAAAGTAGGTACATGTCGAAAGTTGCGAATTCGTCTTCAGGGAGTTGTTGGAGCTTCCAATAACTTGATGACATAAACCACTGACTCTTCAGGCTTCTACGCCCTTAACTCATGAGATATAAAGGCTAGCATGAACTTAGCATGCTTCCCTGTTGGGCGCTGTAAACGCTTCTGCGCTTCACCTTGCACAAGATGTAAGGGGGTGCCCAATAAACTAGCCCCCTCCGGGGCAATCTAAAAAAACCTCAGAGAAGGGCCCAATAATCTAGAAGGAGGGGGGGTGGGGAGGAGTGGGAGGTAGTAGCAGTCGGTGTAGAACATAAGAACATAAGAAAATAAAGTTGGCCTGTGCATGGCAGCTCCTGTCGAGAGTTACTACCACTCTCTATCATCCATGAATCTATCCAGCCTCCTTTTGAAACTTTCCAGAGTTCCCGCACTTACTACAAAGTTGCTAAGCTTGTTCCACTCGTCCACCACCCTATTTGAGAACTAATCAAGAAAGACAAAATCCCAAAGAAAAAAGCAAAAAAGTACAATAAAAAGAACAAGAACTAGAAGAAAAACAAAACTGATAGAAGACAAAACGAAGAAGTAGAAATAAAAAAGGGAAGAGAAACAGAGCAAAAGGAAGAAGAAAATAAGTAACGAAAAATAAAAATAAAGAGAAAAATAAGTAGACAAACTCACATATAAAAATTCAATATCCATAAGTGCCCCCCCCCCCTAAAAAAATAACCAAACAGCATGTAATCCTACTTTCCTTCCCTCGTTTATTTCCTGGGGGTGTGAGGATAAGGAAGAGGAGGACAAATAGATAAATAAGGAGGAAGGAGAGGAGACAACATCCACAGAGAAGGATTCTACGCTAGGGAGTCCTACAGGATGCGAGTGTTAATGCCCATCACCATTCTGAGTGAGTCAAGGAGGGCGAAGGGGAAAGACTGGGGTGGGGGGAAGGGGGTGGGTGGGTAGGTGTGGGCGTCACAAGGCGTCAGAAGGCCAAGAGGAGGGAGGGGGAACTGTCACTCCTTCCCTCCAAAACAATATGACTGTGGAGAGAATGGTATAGAGACTCTCTCTCTCTGTCTCTCTCTCTCTCTCTCTCTCTCTCTCTCTCTCTCTCTCTCTCTCTCTCTCTCTCTCTCAGCCAGACAGTCACCCCAACTAGCCATCATAGGCGCCTCATAACGATTGATCTCCTAAGCATCGGGTGACAGTCACGTCCCCACCGCCTATTGTCCCGATCCACACCATTACCTGTCCCGTTACACCGTCACGCGCCGGAAGTCGTAAACCCGTGGTTGTGTAACGTCCAGTCCAACAGCTTGTATCGTACCGTGACCTTCCAACTCCCCCCCCCCCACCACTACACTGTCACTTCTGTTCTTACTTAAACAAACATCTATCCAACCACCACCACAACTACCACCACTCCACCACCACAACTACCACCGCCACCACCACCACGACTGAGTTTACAATGAGATACAATAATAATGTTTTTGAGAGACTTGTTGTTTACAGAGATTATATTACATGGTTTATAAAGACAGACAGATGTTACTTAGAGAGATACATATGTTACTTACAGAGAAACAGAGAAGTTACTTAGAGACATACACCACGAGAATATATATTTGTGTGTGTTATTGATCGGTGAAGGTTGTACATGCACGTCCAATCAATCTCAGATACTTTACGTACTAAGTAATACTTGTCATATGGTGTTATATTAGGCTCAACACCGAGACGATCTTACATCTGTAAATACTACTAAGTCCGTATTACCTGAAGAATACCCCCCCCCCCCGCCGCCAACTTATATCACCTGAAGATTAATCACCCGAACGCTACTCAGAGGTGTTAGGTTAATGTTAAAGGTGATTAATCCTCAGGTGAAAATAAGGTGTGAGGTTAATCTTCAGGTGTTCCTTTATTTAATTACCTTACAACATAATGACGATGTTATTTTCATGCATATTCCAGTGAAAATCTAAACACATGCGGATATACAATAGTCTGCCATGCATTATAGAAGAAAACGAGAAGAAACTAACTCATAAAATACGGCATGCTAATAGAAAACGAATTACTGACTGTCAATACATAGAATATGGAATAAAGAAATGTAAGCAAATCGGTAACTTCCACCACACACAAGAAAAACGGATACCTGTAAGTTACCATAAAAAAAAACGGGAATCTAACAGAATAACAATAATCAACCACATTAAAACAACAAACAAGACTATAGAAAACGAACAAATTTAAACAACCACATTAAAACAAACAAGAATCTATATAAAAAACCGAACAATTGTAAGCCACCAATTAAAAAATAAACCGGGAAAGCATAACTCGTGACAATTAAAAAATATCCAGGTGTTTTAAGAGGCACTGTAAAGAAAATTGTGCACACCTGAGCAAGCCACGTAGTGTTACTGTATAATGGTTGGTGGATATGGTGGGCATTACCTGTGAAACAAAGTACACCTCTACAAGACATACCCAGCTCCACGGTTTCCACTTGAGCGCTGCCTTCAGGGGGGCGAGGGCAGGGGGGAGGAGGAGGAGGGACACAATATTAATTTGGGTAATGATT